CACATCTGGCAGATGCAAAACAACATAATCATTCACTTCCAGTCGTGTTTCTGATCACCTAGTGAATTTAAGTCCAATATTTATTCTGGCTGAGATTTCTGGTTCTTTAGCAGCTCAATGCTCCGCTATGTTCACCAGCTAGCCGCTGACTTTGACTGTGTGGGGTCCCTATTGTTTTTGTTCTGGTTATCATTATTATTATTCCTTGTTTTTTTACATTCACATTATACATGTAAAAATATTGACCAGTAATACTGATTCGTTAATAGATAATCAACAAACACTCATACAAAATTACTTTAACTTCAGAGTAACTTAGGTCATTTGCATGAGGTCTTAATTTATCTACCCCTGTGTGTTTTCAGCTGTGTGCTGCTGCACATTTGCTCTCCAGCCCGATTCCCTCGTCCTTTCCATCCTCCCCTCAGGGCAAAAATAATCCCTTCAGCCTGACTGACTTCTTCTGACCCTTTTCTTTTCATTCAGATCCAGATTCCCTAGCCGGAGACCTTTATAAACCAAAATGTGACATATAGATCCAATCAATAAATCATCTGAGGAAAGTTTACTTTGGATCATCTGTTATCTGTCACATAAAAACAAACAAACAAGCAAATGCCGGGCAATAAACTGTAGGCTGAGCTGAGAGGATACCACAGAGCAGGTGATTTGTCATCACTCAGAGTCGTGTTATCTAACAGTGGTGACCTTTCGACAGAGGGAACAGGATTTTTCTCTATCTATGAAAAGGCTATTGGTTGCAAAGGTCCAATAAATTGCTCTTGCCTCCTCCTCAATTTTATAAGATTAAACAAAAACATCTATTGCACCGGCCTTTTTCTCACAGGAGGAAAATACAAAACCAAAAGACAAAGGGAGTGAAACCCCCTGCCGCCGAAAAATATTAAAAGAATACTTTTTGGAAAATATGCTTGACGAGTGACATTTAGCTTAGCGCCATGAAATTTGAAAAACACATTTCTGCTCCCCTCCTCAGTAATAATGTTGGTGATCCCTGGCTTTTCCCCCCAGTCCCATCATCAGATCAAATATTTAATTTTGGTTTATGATCACACACCCTGCAAATGAACGACATTCCCATCATCTGTAATCTCAGCTGTAATTTATGTAAGGTGCTAATTAAACGTCAAACATTTAAAGTTAGCATTTATCTGAGGTCAGCTCTTGCTACATGTCTATTTGTGTACGGATTAAACTGATGTAATAATGCTAATTGCTGAGGTGCTAGTGGGCTGATCTGTAAACTTTGGACAGAGCCAGTCTAGCTGTTTCCCCATGTTTCCAGAGTTTATGCTAATCTAATTGCCTCCCGGCTCTAGCTCCTTACTTAAGACAAAGACATGAAGGCGATATCGATCTTCTCATCCGACTTTGTGCTCGAACGTGAATAAGTAGATTTCACAAAATGTCAAACAGTTCCTTTAAAGTAAGATGAAGGGAACTGTGAGATGTGCTCAAGGCTACCAACAAGCCCGAGGTGAAGGCAAGCTGAGAAACATTCGTCTCAAAGGCTGAAACATGTTGCATGCAAACATTAAATATTACATACAGAGTATAGCTACACAGCACAGTGTGAGCAGAGCAAGCACACCACTAAAAACCACCAGCAGATGGCACTGATCGGCAGCAGAGAGGCCCCAGATGTGATGGCAAGAGCTGTTGCGGGATATTGCATGTCAAAATAAATTCACGCTTTTAAAAGGATTAGGCTTCCCCTCCATACATCACAAACCTTAATTACAACACACATTTATTCATCTGAAAGGACACAACTCCTGACCTGAAGCGACACACAAAGGGGGGGGGGGGGGGGGGGGGGGGGGTGAGGTGAAGGCAAACAATATGCGGTTTGTGTAAATAAAAAACTACAAGCCTCACCGAGACAGCGCGTTGGTCGTGAGTATTCTACATCTCTTGCATGCACTTAATGCCTTCTTGACTCCAAAGTTCCTCTGGGTATTGTTCATTAATCGCACATGCAAACTCGGAAAAGCTTACTTACAGTGGATAGGAGTATGAATAATGAAGTGCTCTCGGTAAATGTTATGCCAGTCTAGGCTGAAAATTACCACAAATGTGGGGAGGGAGGGCTCTAAGCCGTAAAGCGGTAGCGCATGGGTGGTAGAGCGACCCACAAACGAGACGCACCTTCACATGGACCTATGAGCTGGGAGAGAGCGAATGCGCCTCCTTCAGCTCTTTGGTTTTCTCATTGGAGAAGTCCTTGCAAAACTGGGCCGATGGAGTTCCTCTGCTGGATAGGAACAAGGGACGGGAAAAAGAGAGGCAAAAATAAGCATGGGTAAAATCGTGGAGGGGTTCTTTTAAATGTATGATTACGTCCGGTCTGATCCCGTGCTCCCCACAACATTCACTCCAAAACGACTTCATGTCAGACTGCGTGCTGCAGAATACAGGGATGGCCTGAGAAACTGTCAGTCAGGTCTGAGCTTCACAGGAGGGGTCTGAACTGTATTCAACACACACGAGTGGGCTCAGGGGTGGCTGGTGTGTGGATGGTTCATGGATACATTCACAGGAATGCCATAGCTATATATATATTAAATATATATATAGGAATAGTGGTGAGGTGATATAGGTTACTATTATATATATATATATATATATATATATATATATATGTGTGACTACTGTGTGTGTTTGTGCTACAATGTTTTGGTGGAGTCATTTTTACAATTCATACCAGTTATTCTCGTTATATTCACACCGAGATGCGTGTGTGTGTGTGTGTGTGTACGTGTGTGCTCTGTTGTTCCAGACAGAGTGTTTGTTTCTCTGTGTGTGCGTGTGTGTGTGTGTGTGTGTGTGTCACTCGAGCTATGACTGAATGCATGTTGGTGCCCAGAGCCAGAGAAACCCAGTGATGAATGAGGCTCCCATTTTCCAGCTCCTGCGAGGCCAACCAGAGCGAAAGCAAAATGGATGGGTGACATTAAGTCAACACCCGGCCAGCGCGGCTCCTTTGCACCATTCCTCTTTGGAGATGAATTCAGTGGCAAAAACTAATAAAGAATCTAATTATTACTGCTGAAATTTAAACTGACCTTCACCCGCCATCCTTCCCAAAGGCAACACTCTGATTGAAATGTTCATTTCAGAAATGAGGGGAAGAAAAAAAAAAAAAAAAGGATTTTTATACACAGTTTAATGGACTCGTGAGCTTGTATTGCTCCACGACAGCGCGGGGCTTTCAGATTCTAATAATGCATCTGATGAAAAGTCACTCATCCTGAGACATTCTCCAATGACACAGAAGGAAAGACATTTATTTGAACTTAACGGAGCAGTAAGTTCCCTGAACATCATCTCCTCTAAAGGCCTCAAAAGAACCTGATGAATGCTGATGAGTTGCTCAATCTACACAACCCCATCACTTCATTAGCGTCTAAAGCACTGCTCATTACTCACTGGTATTTCTGTGCATCCGCTAACACAATAACAAACTCATTGAAATTTCAACCTATCACATGAGTTGAGGGAGGTTATTGTTTCACAGCTGATGGGTGCTGTTTGAATTACAATATCCCACTAATGAAATGAAACGCAGTTACGTCCCCAGAGCCGTCGCTAGGCTCTACCTTCCCTCCCCTCCCATACTTATTAATAGTAATCCCATGTCAACCTCACCACCTTCTATGCACGCCTTTCCCTCCCACTCCGCCTCCCATAAAACAACATAGCGAGGGTAAACAAGCGGGGAGGGAGCACTGAGGAAATTCTAATTAAATATGGATTAATATAAAGGCTATGATGTTGGGTATGAGTCAAAGCAAACCCTGGGGCCCTGCCTCACACATTCAGCTCCCGTTCGTTTCCTTCTGTTCAGTCAATGTCGGATAATGATCTCTCCCACCGACTCAGACGGCCCTTTCATGCCACACAATGCCATGAAAGGGACTCGCTGACCAGCCAGAGATAATGCCTGATGCTTCTAAAATGTGCTTAAGCACGAACAGCGAGACATTATGCGGACAGAGGAGCGACTGTGCTAAAGATAGACAGAGGAAAAGACTTCACGCGGCATTTCCTTACCAGACAGTCCTTCAATGCTAAAAGGGCTTAGATAAACATTTT